CGGTACGGGGGCAACACTGAGGGTTGCGATCCATTGCCGGACACGGAAAAAGACAAAAAGACAAAAAAAACAAACAAACAAAAAAAAAAAAACAAAACACTAATAAACCTTAGGTAGTCTTCTTATTATGAAGGAACTGTTGCCAGTAATAGACTTTCTGGGATAATTTTAATTCTAAATTCAATTGTAAAATTACTTGCAGTAATCAAAGAGGAATATTTTCTAGCCTTGAATGTGTGGGAGTTAATCTTTGTGTTTCTTAGATGACTTGAGATGGTACAGCCAACCTACCTGACCCTCACCAACAGAGGTGCCCTACAAACATTTTATGAATGAATGGTGAGCTATGGCTGTCTGACTTCTGTTTGTCCAAAGCACATGCTTTATTCATGAGGCTCATGAACAGAAGGGGAAAACATAAAACACTGAATGTAGTTAGTAGGATGAGCTTGCTTTTTTTCTCCCTGGGGGTAAAAGATAGTGCACTACTTTGCTGAATAGAGTGTATAAAATGGTTTTCCCAAAGCCAGTTGTCAGTAACACTTCTATTTAGCCCTTCATTCATCTATAGGAGTCTCAATTGAACCTGTTTTGAAATAGTCCTGCTTGTTTCTTATTGGTGGCCTAAAATATGGCCTTGTGTTTTTGTGTTGACAAGTAAGGTTGACCTCATAGAGGAAACATGACCTCTCTTTTCTTTATTTCAGAGGGTTTATTACCTCTCTCTGGAATTTTACATAGGCCGGACTTTACAGAACACCATGATCAACCTTGGACTGCAAAATGCCTGTGATGAGGCCATTTACCAGGTTTATTTCAGAGGGTTTATTACCTCTCTCTGGAATTTTACATAGGCCGAACATTACAGAACACCATGATCAACCTTGGACTGCAAAATGCCTGTGATGAGGCCATTTACCAGGTATGTCGTTCCCTATTTCTCTCATCCTCTCCCTTTAAATTTCAAATTCACTTCAAGAACCTTGGGACATCGCACAAAAGAATATGGTGAAAAATTGTCTCTATGATGTGGGTATTGTTACAAACTATTAGAAGCATGTATAATCTCTGGTTTAAGAGAACAACCAGAAAAAGAAGTTAGAGAACTGGTTGTAACTCATGAGAATTTGTTCTTTTGCAATCAAGTCTTTGACAGTATTCGCCAACAAATTGCATTTTAGAAATTGACATCTGAACAAGCCTTTTAAAAGTACTCGAGTATATGGTATAAGAATCACAAGCTTTGCTTTGGGCTCCTATCTACTTTTTAAGAAACAATCAAAGATTGACTGTTATTCATGCATATATCAAGGCAATATGTAATAATGATAAGCTTTTACAATTCTGTTGTCATGCTTCTCTATTGCTTAATGAGATGTAAAAAACACTTCCTCCTTAAAAGAGGAGCCAAAGGTCTTAACCCTAATGTACTAATTTGCTTTTATGAATATACTTAACTGTTTCTTCGCTGAGCTGCAGGTATCTCCATACCAAAAAAAAATAATCCTTAACCTTTTCAATATGGTTGAAAGGAAGAATGTGCAAATTCTAAATGAAAGACTGTTGAGACTTCTCCTTACCATTGGCCTGGGATTGTCCGCTGATGTGGCCAGCTGCTGGTCACTAAGGGGTGGTGTCCTTCATGTGGGTTAGATAGAATATTTCCTGTGAAAGAACCATGGCAGCCCCCGTCCACTTCCCTTTTCTTTGCTTCTCTTAATATCAGCTGAAAATAATATATCTTTCTTGGAATAGCATATAACCAAGTGGGATGAAGTAACCTGTATCTTACTTGCTCAAGGCTTATATCCTACCTTAAAGTTACATTTTTAGAATTTAAAAAGTCCTGAATGTTAGCACTTGCAGCTGGCTTCATAAGGTCCTCAGTAAACTCTAGTATCCAAGGAGCAAATTCAAAAGCCCCTTCAACAGTGAACAGAAGCAAAACCGTGTTTGAAGTTTCTTAAGACTTAGTTATCAAGATGTATGAGAAAGCAAATTTTGGTGTAATGGTAGGGATCCAGATAGGTGGCTCCATGGAAACTGGGGCATCAACTTTGAGCATAGTTATATCTTATGCATATGTTTTCAAATGCTTAAATTATTTTTCCATTTCAAATACTATCCAATTTCATAGACTACGTGACTTTCAGATGAGAACACAGTTTTTTTGCAATAGGCCATTTTTTAGCCACGCATGGGCTGGATTACCATCTAGTCAACACGGAACAGGTCATTTACCTGGTGCATCAATTTTCTCACTGTAAGATGAGCAATCCAAAGTAATCTCCAGGGCTGCAGAACTCCAGTATGAGTCCACAGTTGTGCTAGCAGACAATGCTGTGAGATCCCCAGCACTTTGGGGCAGGGAGCAGGCTGGCAACTAATCCCTCCCATCCCCAACTTCACAGATGCCCCCTGACCTTCCATAGCCTTTTATCCACCTCAGAGAGAAGTAGAGGATTTTAGCCCCATCCAGCTGGACCCTCAGACTGAGGTTTCCCTGACTATTATCAGACCCCAGGTCTCATGCACAGTGACTCACTAACTGGGTTCAGGTTAACAGCTTTTTTTTTTTTTTCCTTTTTGTCTTTTTTACTGACCGGTAACGGGATCGCAACCCTCGGGATTGCGCCCACACCGGGGACTGGCAACGGGATCGCAACCCTCGGTGTTGCGCCCGCACCGCGCTCAGCCAGTGAGCAGGAACCGGTCTCCACATGGGATCCGAACCCTCGGTGGGAGCGCCACCGCGCTCCCAAGCGGCACACTCTCCAGTGCACCACCGGGCCGGCCCCAGGTTAACAGCTTTTGACTCTACTGAGTAAATATGCTGTGGTCATGAAAAGATGAATTTTAGTCCATCCTGGAAAGTCTAACCTCATACCTTTTGATCATTTTCAAAATCTCTCAGTCTAGTTAATATCAGGTTGGTACTGGACTATTTCTGAGGTTTAACCCTATATAGCACAAAAAAATAAAATAAAATAAAAACTTTAAAAAGTAATAATAGCTAACATTTATTGAGGGATATCTGCCCAGGAATAGTTCTAAATGCTGTGTTTGTATAATCTCACTTAATTCACAACGACCCTGTACCTATGAGGTAGGTACTGTTATCCTTCACATTTTTAAAATAAGAAAAGTGAGGCATAGAGAGTTTGAGTAGCTTGCCCAGAGTCATACAGTAGGGATGTGACAGAGTCAGAAATGGACACTTAGAGCCCACACTCTTCTCCATGCTAAGGCTGCACCACCCCGTAAGTCTGCAGTTTACATCTGCAGTCACCAGCACTGATAGTGGGCACTGGATGGCAGAATGAGCTGCAAGGGAGCCGACACCAGACTGAGTAACAGATAGACCTGGGTGCCTGGCCCAGAGCTTTAGGAATGGCTGTTATCTGTGAAATGGCCTTCATTCATACCTGCATCCAATGCTGTTTTTCTTTCATCTTCAGCTTGGATTGGATATGGAGGAGTTAGAAGAAATTGAAGAAGATGCTGGGCTTGGCAATGGTGGTCTTGGGAGGCTTGCTGGTAAGTAACATTGTGAGTGTGTTAGGTTTTCTGGCCAACTGATACCTTCTCAGATGTGAGTCATGACCATGCTTGGGAGAACCAGACAGGCTTCCTAGAAGAAGTGCAAGTTCTGGCTTGTTTTAGATGTATTAGTTCTTGAGTGTGTACTGTGGTTTGGGCAATTCTAGACAAACAGTCAAAAACAGAACTTGAAGAAAAGAGACATTGCTCAAAACCCTTAGAGACATTGCTTAAAACCCCAAAGTTAACCAGATCCTTCCTGTGCACTTAAAGGTTTCCAAAGCGTCCCCTTTACTTCACTATTGTTTGTTCATAACTGCTCAATTCACATACTTGTGTGGTATGACCTAACTTGTTTAACCCATGTCTTGCCTTGAGCACTTAACAGTTTGCTTTTTGATTGACTAATGGGCAATGATACACTTATATTTTTGGTATGATTTAATTAATTAATATCTTTGTGTGTGTGTGTGTGGATGCAATAGAAGTTTTTGCTTTATCCAGGCAATGATTTTTCAGCAAATATAGAGAAAAACATTAAATATACAATACCAGCTCCATTAAATTAAAAATATGCACCCCTATGACCAAGCAGTTCTACTTCTTGACATCTACCCTAGGGAAACACTCAAACATGTGACCAAGAATATATGTGAAAAAAAACTTACAGTGTTATTTGTAAAAGCAAAATACTAAAAATAACCTAAATGTCCATCGTTAGCAGAGTGCCTAAATAAGTGCTGAAACATCTGTATTACAGAAAAATATGCAGCAGCCTAAAAGAATGATATTGATCTATATGTACTTCCCTGGATAGATCTCCAAGTTATAAAAGTCAAGTTCCATTTAAAGCCATACAATGTGATACCATTTATGTTTTTTAAAAATTAGCTATTTTCTGTGAGTGTGTATATATTTTATACATATGTATTACATATTCTAGAAAGTATATATATATATGTATATATATATACACACACACACACACACACACACACACACACACACAAGATCTGAAATTTTAAATACTAAACTGCTCCTGGTGATCCTCCTCTAGGGCAAAGTGCAAATTGGGGATGGCAATTAAAGGGGATGCTAGCATTTTAATTTTTTTGTTGGTAACATTTTAAATTTTTTTAAAGGAGGATATATTAATGTATTACTTGTGAAATTTAAATTTAATAATACAAATGTACTACCACAAATGTATCAGATTATACTCTATGAAAAATGAATATCTATTTCTTTTCTTTTAGAAATGGTTCAAAAATCTCTTAATTTTGCATACATATGTTCAAGTTACTAGAAAGCCATTTGCATCTGTCTCATATTTAATCCTTACTACATTAGTTTTAGTGTGTTAACATTGCCATTAGTAATAAAGAAAAAACAAACAAACAAAAAAAAACACAAAAAAACCACTGTGGGATAATTGCCACCTTCTTGTGAAGTTAATCATCACACAATTTAGTAGGGTTTCCATGGGACTGTAGGAAGTCCAGCAGTGCAAATGGAATTCACATCTAAGAATGAGAACCTTCTATGTGAGACCATCAGTGTTTGTTGGCTGGGTTAACCTCTCTCTGTGTCTGACATTAATGTCCTTGCTCTTTTAGTTGACTGATAAGGTCAAAGAGAGTAGAAAATGATCGTATAACTTCGTATAATGTATGCTATACGAAGTTATTACGCATGACAGTCACCCAGGTACCAAATGTTAGTCTCACCTTTGACTTGTTCCTGTATACCACATTCAACAGGTTGCCAAATTCTGTTGATTTCTGCAGGTTCCTATATTTATTTCATTCTTTATACATCTTTGTATATTATTTCTATAGTATACTATTTTCTATAGTATTAATTTCTTACTATTAAAAAATCAATACCCTTTGTGCAGCAGTCTCTGTGCTTTAAAATACAAATGTGGTTTCTCAGAGAAAAACATTTTGTCTCTGCCATGTTTGTTAGGAAAACACTTGAAATTTAGACTAAGCTTAATGACTCTGCCTTTCACCGTTGCTATTTAATTCAGCCTGCTTCTTGGACTCCATGGCAACCCTGGGACTTGCAGCCTATGGATATGGCATCCGATACGAATATGGGATCTTTAATCAGAAGATCCGAGATGGATGGCAGGTATGTGAGCCATCTTTCAGTGGATACTGTCAGTCTTCCCCCTATGGAATGTGAGTTCCCTAAGAGCAGAAAGCCTGCCAGTATCACTCACCACTCGATCTGTAAAACCTAGCACAGTGCCTGACTCACAAGGGTGCTTGGGAAATATCCACCACTGACTGCCTGAATGTGAATTACCTACAGTGTGTGATGTTCACTGTCTGCAGCATGCTAAATGGAGGAGCTCATCTTCTGACTCATGATCTCCCCCAGTACCTTTGATGGTAGGAAGCATGTTACCATTTTGTAGGTGAGAGAACTGAGTCTCTTAAGAAGTGAAGTTACCTCAGATTACAGTGCTGGGAAATATGTGTCTGTATCCCCAGATTTCTAGGTCCATCCTTAGTATTCTCTTCTACACTCAGTCTTGCCTCCTTAACATGCCTATCTTACAAGATACATCAGCTAAGTGTCCTAATTTTTTATAAGATAAAATCAAGCAATCTTGTTAACTGGCATGACAAACAAATCTGGCTCATATTTAATATTACAAGTATAATTATGTTGCTCCATTCAAATTTGCACAAAATCCATCCAAATGACTCTAGTTTTACTTGTATATAAGCAAACCAAATTCTAAGGCATTTGTTTCTTCTACCCCTGGTAATTCTTTGAGTCTACAACCAGCCTAGTGTGGATAGTTTCCCCTGACACTATCTTTGTCACACACACACACTCACAACATTGACAAAAAGACACGTCTTAGATTTCCAAGAAGCCTGAGCTCTCTGAGCCCCTCCCACACTTCCGAGACTGAGTCTAGTAGAAGAATGCTCAGGTGGGGGGACCTGGTCTGGAGCTGATGCCAGGGGAAAGGAAGGATTTTCCTATGAGAATAAGTTTAGTGTCATTGCTGTGCTCTTTCCCTCCCCCAGGTATTTGGACACTGTTTAGGCCAAGGAAAAAAGGAACTAAAAGATTTGGTATGATGAGAAAATGTGCCAAAGAAAAAGGCTCAGAAGGAGAATATTGGAAACATATTAAAAGACAAACTTCTAAATTTTGCTAAGGACCAGTGCTGTGTGTCTTCAGCCACCCTAAATGAATAAAAACTAGGACGCAGCATGGTGTATAAGAAAAGCCTGGGCCCTAATATCTAATTTGAGAACTAATTTTAACCCACTAGTCTTATAAGGTATATCATCTCAATTAGGTTACCTAACTTCTCTGAGCCTCAGTTTTCTCATCTGCAAAATGGAGATACCAACTTCACAAATTTTTTAATGAAAATATGCAAATAAGTGGCATACGAATAGGCACTCAATAAAAATTTAGTTTTGCCTAACCTCTGAGCCTCAGTTTTCTCATCTGCAAAATGGAGATACCAACTTCACAAATTTTTTTATGAAAATATGCAAATAAGTGGCATACGAATAGGCACTCAATAAAAATTTAGTTTTGCCTAAGAAAAGGAGGATAATTTAATAAATTATGGTATTCTGTAATAAAATATTAACATAGCTGTTAATATTATATTTTTGATTAATTTTAATAAGATAGGAAATCATACATGTTAGCTGAAAAAAAAAAAGACACAGAATTATATGGATGGTATGACCTCAACTATCCCTCCCTAGCAGGCTGGAAAGAAAAAGGAAAAGTGCTAGAAAAAAATACATGAAGAAATTATCTGTTGGGAGATGGAATTATAGGTGACCTTACAATCTCCTATTTATTCTTCTACATGTCTCATATGTCATAAGAATTGTATATTTTATAATCATAAAAAGTTATAAAAATGAAAGAATTGGTTCCCTTCCCCAATGAAGTAATCTAGAGTTCCATGATAAGAGCATAGCTTAAGCAGCATTTCCAATACAACCAACATTTTGATACTACCTGACCAAGAAAGTGTACTGTGTGGTACTCCCTATATCCCAGAATGCTAAAGAATTTCGTTTCTTATCTTTTATCTACTATTGTGTGAAAGATTTCAAAGAAACTCAGCAAATCCATCTCAAAAAAATTTTTTTCTCAAGTGCATTTTTTCCCAAAATTTAATGAAAGGTTACTCTCAATCGCAACTATCTTTGCTCCTTTTAAATGGCCTTTATTCCAGCAAACTACGCCTTTCTCTCCTATCAAACCAAGGAAATATAATGGCTTTTGCTAATTCAAAATATTCCAAAGCTAGCTTCATTAACCATCATCACTTCTTTAATTATATTATGACTCAAAATTGAATCAGAAGGACATATAATTTTACTTGTCACCTCCATTATTTACTGGAATAGGATTTTAAAAGGCAAACATAACATATATCATACCATGAAAAGAAACTATTCCCATAAAATACAGAAAGCCTCTGCCAGGGAAGCAGCAGTGCTCTTTAGAGTCTGGGCATGCCCCCTACTCACAGACATAATGCTCTTAGATGGCAGAGATGCACAGGCTAGGAAAACTTCCCAGCTGGGGAGATTCTTAAAGGCTGGTGCACTTTTAATTTTGAGTCTCTTCAAGGAAGATTTGTAGTAATAGAGTGTTCATCGTGAACCCCCCTGAGGAAAATGATCATATTTTTAAAATTCTAGACTTACCATGAACTCTAATGGGGATGGTTGAAACCTTATTGGTAAAGGTCCTCTATGAAAATAACAGCCCTGGGGGGAAGTGGGGAAAGGCGATTTCAAGAACCTCACGTAAAAGTTTAACAATCACACCAAAGTCCTGGGCAGAAGGGCACTCACTCTATGTATCTCAGAGTTGAATCAAGCAGTGTCTGCTGGAGCTCTTTTCTCTCTTCTTAGAACCTGTGCCAAGCCTTGGGGATGCACATTCACATCCCCAAGCAAGCTTCTAGTTATCATTGCTGAATCCTCGGTATTCCCCAGAAACATTTTTCAATTATTTGTATCATCAGAAAGCAAGGTTTGTTGACTCTGCTGATGTTTGTTCACTGGCTCTTCTTGTACTCTATTCCACCATTGAGGGGAAAAGCATTTCTTAGAATTCAGTCACTGGCAGAGCCCCCTGAGCTGGCCTCTACTTCACTGCTGGCTCACAGTGAGTAATTCCTCCAGGGAGAGGCCAGGTCCTGCAGCCACCCCCAACCCAGTTGGCTCTTTCACTCCACAGAGCCACACTGGCTTTGTGTCAGCCCCGTGTAGCCTGCGGTCACCCCACAGCTAGATGTGTGAAACACATCTGAGAGCCCACCTGGATGTAAATGAAAACTCTTCTTCCATCCTGCCCCCACCCCAGCCCCAGTTCATACAGTGCAGCATGTTAGTGCATTCAGGGGTCACTGGCTACACGGATCTCTAAATTTACGGACGAATTTGTTAATTCATTGGAAGAAAGCAAGGTAGACACCCTGCAGCTTTTGTGGATTTGGTGCAGGCAGCAAGGGGCAATTCCCTTTCCCCTCAGATCTGCTCAGACTAGCTTGTGGTTATGAAATACTTACTTTCAATTTGCCTTAAAAACAAGCCTTGTAAAATTGAGGGAATGATTAACTGATCCTCTGCCGAATCAGTGAGAGACTCAAAATAAAGAAGAGCAAGCAAACGTGATCTCCTACAGAACTTGTTAACCCCACGAATTTAAAACCAGCCATTATTTGGCAGGGAAAAATTAAGCCAACATGTGATGGCATTAAGACTAATCAACTGACAAGTCCCTTGTCACTTAAGACTTTGCACCCTCAAAAGAGCAAATGCACCCCCTGACTTCCATAGGAGTCAGGGAGTGGACCTATGGTGGGAAGTCAAGAGTCCACCCTCTCCTATATGAGCATTTCAAGCTTCCTGAGGGCAGAACAGCATATGATCCTGCTGCATTTCTCAGCAGAAAATGTGTCATTGGTTCTCCCATACACATGATTTTCAAGAGGAAAACTGTTTCTGTCTTATTATCTTCCTGTTTCATGCAATACCTTCAGATGTGTTTTACAACATCCCTGAGTGCTGAAATGAGGCAAACAGGCCTGGTTCTTTCCTGCTACAGGAAGCAGTGTTCACATTGATTTTAAAACCCAAAACCTGCCCTTGCCTTAGTGCAGCATAAAGTATTTTGTAAGTCAAGATGTTTTGCTCCTTTGTTGATATCATTTATTTGTTGCAGTTTCTAGTTATTAACACAAGTTCATGAACTCAAGCTTCTCATCAACTGGTAAACATTAAACGTTTTCTTGTTAAATTTTTTTTTCTCTTTATGACTGGGATATGAGAAGTTAAGTTTTAAATTCTGAATTACATAATTACAATTATTGACTTCATATTACCTTGTAGCTCCTGCCTGCTCTTTGTGTGGTCTGGGGACCAGCAGCACTAGGAGCCTCTGGGAACTTGTTAGAAATGCAGAATTTCAGACTCCTCCCCAGACCTACTGAGAATCTGCATTTTAACAAGATGCAATTTCATCAAGTCTATCTCCAGCCTTCCCTAGGCTTCATCCAGCATCTGACACCTCCTCCTGCTTCCAGATGCTCTCTAACTCCCAGCTCTTCTACTTAAAAATGTTGTTTCTATGAATCCCCTCTTCATTCATCATTATGCGCAACATACTGGCTTTCTTGATATAAAGCCATGATCGATGTTTGAATAAATGAATGTGTATTTGCTTGTCTGGCCATTGACATTAATGTTTTGTCTAATGTCTCAAAAGATAGTAACTTTGTTTATTTGTATCTCTTCACAGTCTGCCTGGGGAAGGCACTGAACTCATTTTTAGGTGATCATGAAATGTCCTGCATTGTGTCATAATTCTTAAGCACTATGTTCTAAGACTAAAAGCTGAGTTTTCTAAGAGTTGAGGATGAGGAATCAAATAAGTAAATAACTGTATCTGGGATAATCTTATTGAAAAGGATACTGTATCCCCTTCTCTTTCTTGCCAGAACACAATTCCATTTTTTAATATATATTTTAAAGGCTTCACTAATAATATATTTACTTTAAGATTAGATCTCCCTAAAACGTGTTTTGTTGTTCTAATTTTGGTGTTTTTTGTTTGTTTGTTGCAAATCAAAATTCGTTTGATGTCCACAATACCCTAAATAAAAACTATGGTTTTAAAATGTTTTGTAAGGAATATTTTGTTATAAATTAACATAAATACATGGGAAAATGTTGAAATCATCATAAATTCCTTACCTCTTAGTATATATTATTTTCAAAATAAACCATAATTTATAGTTCATTATCAAATCAAAATTACATAAGGATTAAGTTAAATAAAGAGTACAAAATGTAGTAGGTTTCTGTACCTATACTGAAATAAGCTTTAAGGGAGCATTCTATTAGTTACATGTCCTAACCAATTCTATATGTTCTAGGCACAAGAATCTTAACTAAAACCATCATGTAGGTATTCAACAATAAACATGCCTGGAGGGCCTCTCTTTTTAACTCAGGCTGGACAATTGATTCACAGGCTCTGGAACACACAGACCTAAGGTCAAATCTTAACTCTACCATTTATTGTCTGTGTGATCTTAAGCAGTTACTATTTCCTTATCTTTAAAAAAGAGGAAATCATAGTTACCTCCTATACGGTTGCTGTGAAGATTAAATACAACAATACATATAACATTTAGAGCACTGTTAGCAAGTATTGTTGATTTAGGCTGGAAGACTATATAACAAAAATGAATCAAGATTTCTGGAACCAACACTCTTTCTTGCCGAAACAGTATTCCTGAGTTGTTTCAGTTAAAGATACTTTTTTGTGATATAATTGAAGGGCTAGGTCCACTTCTCCTGAAAAATAAACTCTAAGGCATATCCTTTTTGCAGATAGAGGAGGCAGACGATTGGCTCAGGCATGGAAACCCCTGGGAGAAGTCCCGCCCTGAGTTCATGCTGCCTGTGCACTTCTACGGGAAGGTAGAGCACACCGAGACGGGGACCAAGTGGATCGACACCCAGGTATCCAGAGTGTGCTCATGACAAGCATTCTGTACAGGCTAGTACAAAGGATAGTACATAGAGTACGTAACACACAGTATCATGTGTACATGGTATCGAGTAGAGCATGTTGTGTATTGAATAATAGAGTATATTTGTATAAATGAATCTGTTACTCCTCTTAGTACAATACACTTGTTTTGGAGACAAGGGATCTGAGACCAAGAGAGAAGTGACTTCTCCAAGGTCAAGTGACTTGCCAGGGTCATTTTGCAATCAGCTTTATCAGAGATAATCAGTTCTATAATACCCAGCATGCTTAGCTCTCCAGTTTATTTATATAAAGTTGTGGATAGCAAAACTGGGTATATTTAAATGTCATTCCTCACCCCACCACCATATACATTTACTTACAGCTTCTCAGAGATAAATATTTTAATACAGAAGTATTTATTCAAAGGATTACCCAAAGTCTTATTCATTGTAAAGTCAGAAAAATAATGCAAAAATTCCAACTGTACTCTGTTATTTTGTGCCAAATCACTTTATAGGAATAATGCTGGTGCCAACGTAAGTGTACGTACTTCCTGGGCGTGTACTTATCCTGCCACTAGATTTGACTATTACCCTGTCACTGGACACTGGCACTCCCAGTGGTGGTTTGTGCTTTGCTGTCTTCATACGTCCTAACAAATAACCCCAGTTAAGTACTGGACCGCACTGCCCAGTCTTTGGAGGCTTCACTTGAGTTATTTGCTTAATAAATATGGTCTCAGGGCTAGAAATGATTTATCACTGGCCATTCTTTAAAAACTTAAAGTGGTAAAGACTGAGTAAATGATGTTCTTATATTTGAATATCGGCAGTAAAATTCAGTATTGTAATGCAAAATGTGATTGGTTTGTGGATTATTCTCTGTGAATAAATGCTTCATTTTACCTTAAAAGAGCCAAGACCCATTTTACAGCTGATTTTTTTTTTTTTTTTTGAACTGCTGGTTTATTATGTAGAGCTATTCACAGTTCAGAAAAGTAAGATATTTTAAAAACTATTTTCGATCCGAACTTAAATTTATTTAGTATATGGAATAATGGATTAGAAGTTGAAATAGGTAACTAAGTATAATGGTATAAGGATGTAACTCATACTGTGATAAGTTCTTGTTTTGGATTTTCTTGGTTTTGTTTTTCATTTTGGTTCAACAGTAAACCACAGTCTAAGTTGCACTCGGTTACAGTAAGTATAATCAGGAGAAATGCAAACAAATCAGTCGTTAATACACCCAAAGAATTCACACATGTATTTGGTATTAAACTAGCAAGTATTTGGTATAGATTTTGGTGCCTAAAACTTCATCAGTGGCTTCCGATCTGTCTAAAAGTATGCAGTTTACACAATCAATCCTGGGAGCATTCTGTTTACACTGTGGATCCCACTACTGAGCTAACGTGTATTTAAAAAGCACCTCTAGGGCCGGCCCGGTGGCGCACTGCTACAGTGCGCTGCTTGGGAGTGCGGTGGCGCTCCCGCCGAGGGTTCGGATCCCACATACAGACCGGTTCCCGCTCACTGGCTGAGCGAGGTGTGGGAGCAACACCGAGGGTTGCGATCCCGTTGCCGGTCCCGGTCCAGTACGGGCGCGACACTGAGGGTTGCGATCCATTGCCGGACACGAAAAAAGACAAAAAGGAAAAAAAAAAATAAAAAGCACCTCTAGATATTTTCATCATATATCCAGAAATTCAGTTAGAGAGAGTATGTGTTTCTGTGCCCACAGAAACAAGGTTATTGGGCAGAGGTAATATCAGTGAAGTGACCCAAGCTATGCAGGACTTCATGGATTAAAGCCATCCCCTGAATCCGGCCCAGATTTGTATCTAGTGAGGTCAGAGAGCATGAGGCCAGACATGCTCTGTGCATGCATGGTATGGCTTCCAGTAAACTGAAATGACCCGTTGTTGTCCTCCAAGACACAGACACCAGAAAGAGTATGAAAGGTAAAGGGGAAAGGGAGCAAGAGGAGGGGAGGGGTCTTCCGACTATGACGCAGGTGTGCTACCTGTGAAAGAAGGGAGGGAAGGAGGATTCTCAGGGAGAGCCTCACACTGCAGCACAGGCCTGAGCAAGTGGCCAGGCATATGCTTTAGCACTCCAGCCACCTGGAGCATCCTGGAGAGAGCTCTGAGGGGACATATTCTCTCTGAAGTTCTCTGAAAGGAGATCTGAGCTGCACACTTCCTGGGCTGCCTCAATTATGCTTTAGGGGTCAGAAAGATTAATCTTGTTTGAATCCAGACACAGTCCCACTCTGTAAATGACTTTTCCTGATTGATCACAATTTGCTTTGAAAATCTCCAGAGACCTTTATTTCTGAGTGAAAGATATTCAAGTAAGGGTGATTTATTACTTCGAGGTCATGATGATCATGAAAGCATGCCTGAATATATGTGATTGATGTGGACTATAATGCTTCATTTATTCATAATTCAGCAGACCAAATTAAAGAGAGGTGTGTTTAGGTTTCAAACCTGCCATGACTGTGACCTTGGTCAAGTCACTTCTGTCTCAGCTTCAGCCCCTCGTGTCCAAAATGAGTGGGTTACATAAATATCTGGCATCCTCCAATTCAATTATTCTGTCATTCTCCTTCACTAGAACTTGACTCTGATGAGGCAGAGAATAAAAATGAGTCATTTCTCACATAAATTTTAAATGCACTGTGAAACATAGTTCACTTTCCTGTTCTTCTCTATTTCAATGACTGTCACAAATATTGAGCTAGATTTTCCAAAGTTCATCTCTTAGACCCAATTCAGCTAATTATCAGATGATTTGGCAGATCACTATAGGAATCACTAAAATAACTCTTTATGCAACTTCAAAAAATCTAGCTTAGCATTTTAAATGTCTCATGTGATGTTCTATCTCCATAAATTTCCTGTTCCATTGATTTTCACCATATTAGAAATCAGATCACCCTACACAAAACGTATCCTAATTGCTATTTTTGGGTGGGTATAGATTCACATTTGTCACTTTGCTTGCATATCATATTTTACTATTAGAGCAATGGCTTGATCTAAAACACAAATGATAAACTTTTTCTAATACTATGGCATTCCATTCCATTGCATCTGTATCAGGGCAAAGGGTACATGGGAGGTCAACATGGAAATGCTATAAAAGACCATCAGTCTAGATGGCTCCAGCCATCCAGATTGTTCCAGTTGGTAGAGAAACCACATGGCCTGTAAAACCACCTCCAGCCCTGGTGTTACCGGGCAGCGGTTCCAGGTTCTTGGTCTATTTGTGAAAGGAAAATCTGTCACGGATCGGTAAAAGGAACAGAAGAGAGTGACAGAGAAATGGATCATAATGAGGCTTTATTACCAAGCAAAGGTACACACCAAAGAAGTGTGCAGGCATGTCCCCCAGATTCTTAGGGGGAGGGTTTATATGCTGTTCTGGGATGAGATGTTTCTCTGTCTTAACTAAGAGGAGGAATATTCGGCTGTGGGGGAAGATCTAGAGTAATTAAGGCCTCACAGGCCGAGGCGAGGTTGCATCAGCTTCCTGTCAAGCATCCCTGAGTTTCTGAAGTTTCTGGTCATTCTCTTAACTTTGGCTGATCCAGTCTGAATATTTATGAGCAGCCTCTCTGGGACACGTCCCTATTCTGTCCTGCTTCACCGGGACCCTCTTCTTGGCTTGCATCCTTACACCAGGATAGATCCCATTGCAGTCTCTGAGCCCGTTGTCCAACCTACATCATCACACTTGGGAAACAGTGAGCAGATGCTTCTGTTTCATCCCACAGGTGGTCCTGGCTCTGCCATATGACACCCCAGTGCCTGGGTATATGAATAACACCGTCAACACCATGCGCCTCTGGTCTGCTCGGGCACCAAATGACTTTAACCTCAGAGACTGTGAGTACAGCACTTTTTGATCACAAGTTAGGACCAAATTGGACTTGCGAAAATAGCCTTTAGTTTCTGATCTGAGCTCTTCAGTGACTAAGCAGGCATCATGTGCAGCAAATAGGGAGGACATTTTTAAAGCAGTCCTTTAGTATGGCCTTCTCAGACTCTCATGTGAAGCCCAGCATGAAGGTTTGTTGAAATCTTTTTGGATTTTTAGGAATTTTAGGAATCCCACATGGCATGCAGCAAGCATCAGGTGAGATCGAGGGGCTTCCAACAACAATGGCTGGCTTGTCTATTTATTGTTTTTCTAACGTTCCCCTCAGTTAATGTTGGTGACTACATTCAGGCTGTGCTGGACCGGAACCTGGCCGAGAACATCTCCCGGGTCCTCTATCCCAATGATAACGTGAGTAACCAAGCTTGCTTTCTCAGTGGCGACAGAACCAAGTCCTTTTACAAAAGCCTATTCAGTAACCCTATAAAACACAATGTTCATTTTTTTTTTCATGTGCAGAATAAGCTCCATATCTCTTCCTGAATTACAACCAAGTGAGGAAAACAAATTTTCAGAATTCGTGAAATCAGAATTGGTGTTTTGGCCTTGATTAGTGACCCCATCATTAATTGGGAAGGCTCTGCATTTGTACTTGTATTTGCATTTGTATTTGTTGTAGTTGTATTTCAAAACCTGAATATAAAACATGAGCTGGATCATGGGTACAGCACTAGCTCCTTTCCAGACAGAAATTTCATGTGCAACGTCAGAAGTCCCTGTGATTTCCTGCCTGGCTCTTCCCTCACTCACTGGGCTCTTCCTGGCCCTCTGCCCCCAGGCTGGTTGGGGTGATGGACCTCGGAGCAGGCCTATAAACAAACACCTGTCTCTTCTGCCACTTACTTGTATCTTTAAACTTTTTCTTACAAATGATTATCCTAATTTTATTCTAAAAATAGCTCAGTTTTTAAAAACTTGGAACTGGATCTCAGATGACTGCTATGGATTCTTGGTTGGTTTGAATATAAGCGACTCTAATTTCTCCAATGGGTAAAATCATACTCTTGATGCAGTAATGATTTTTTCTAAAGTTAACCTCAGAAGCAATCAAACTAGTATTCTGCTTTACAAAGATGGCAGAAAACAAGGATCTTGGGGACTAGGACATAAATAGTCCCTAGGACCAGATATCCACTTGGTGTTAAGCCACAGCCTCTAAGAGGGGAGTAGGATTATGTGGATTTTCAGGAACCTGATGGTACATGTTATTTGGGGAAAATATTGTGACTTCAGTACATTTCAGAGAAATCAATAACCCCATAGCAAAATGTTATTCTGTTTCATGGTCAACATAAGAATTTTCCAAGTTTGGGACTACACTGCCTGGCCAAACCCAGGCCTTCAGGATTGTATAACTGGAAGGTGCTTGAAATCCATCTTCCTATCTTCAGTAAGGACCAAACCTAACTCTACTTGGAAATAAGCATCTGCAGTAATTGACAACATATTCTAAGTAAGCATGGGGTAAAAAGTTGACCAGATTTGTTGGGTAAAAGGTAGCTCTCTGGATTATGTTTTTTTAAGAATGAGTTGATAAATCATTTTCATTCTGCAGTTACAAAAACAAATTCATTCTCTCTCCTCAACCTGGCCATAGCCCTAACCCAGGCATTAGTCTCCCTTCCAAGGATCTTGCACCTGCCCTCACCCTGCAACTAGTGAGAAACTTTGTTTTTCCTGGAGTTCGGCCTTCTTCTCTCAACCAAATTCAGAACACAAGCAGATAATATTAATTCTACCAGAGTTAATTATTAATATTAATTAATCTGATCAGAACTACACTATACTTTTCACCAACACTGAAAACTAGAAGACAAAAAAAAAAAAATCTGAGGGTTCCATATCCAGGCAAATAATCACTATGAGGGCAGAATAAAGATGTTTTCTGATGTGTAAGGTGGCTAAAAAATTGACCGTGCACACACTTTTTCCCAGGAGACCCTGGAAGTGTGTGTACTCCCAATGAAGGGGAGTAAACCAAGAAAGAGAAAGACATGGGATCCAGAAAACAAGTGACCCCAGACTGTAGATGAGCACAGGGGTCCTCAGAATAACAGGGAAAGAAGATTCTAAGATGACAGTGGAGCAGCAGTCCCAAGGAGCAGCCAACTCAGGAGCGATCCAGAAGAGACTGTTCAAAAAGACTGAGTTAATGGAACACCTAATGTGTTTGAATATAGTGAGAGGAAATTTACACAACTGGGCTAGAATGCAGGATAATTAGGGGAAAGTACTCAGAAAACCAAGTAGGCAAACAAACGAAACAATTATGAACTCCAGGAAAAAAACTTTTTAAGAAAATGAAAAGTAATCATTATAGGAGGACACATGTACACACAAATCAGCTGTCTGTAGCATTTACGTAGTCATAATAATGTAAACACTGATTAAGGAGCCAGTGAAAATTACAGCGTAATTATGTTGAGAGGATTGGGGATGAGAATATGTGTTTGATGGCTCTGATGTATAAACTGAGTTGCTTTTTGGCTCTTCTCCACTACCAGGTCAGGATTTGGCTTTCTTGGGTCTTCTGGCTCAGTTACCACTCATACATCTGTTTTTAAGCTTCTAAAAAGTTGTTGTTTTCTCTCTCCCAGTCTCTTTATCCTTTATCTGTATGCCTTTTTAAAACCCTTTTGCTGTCATTTTGGTGGGGTTCCAGGAAAGAGCAAAGGCTCATGCTTTGGCGTTCCACCTGCCATCTTTCATAAGAAAAATGGGCTTTATCCTCAAAGCTTCCCGGGCAAGAGACACCAGTCACGTTTTTGACCACACCTACAATGGGAACCACTTTCATTCAGTCTCTCTGGCTTGAAGTTTTTTGAAGGGAAGGAGCTAAGATTGAAGCAGGAGTACTTTGTGGTGGCTGCTACCTTGCAAGATATCATCCGACGTTTCAAAGCCTCCAAGTTTGGCTCCACCGAGAGTGCAGGAATTGCATTTGATGCCTTTCCGGATCAGGCAAGTAGTCAGTCTCTGCAGGTGGGGTCCATGGAGGGGCCAGGATTTCCTATCAGCTTTACTGCTCTCTCCCAGTGCTGAACAAGTCGAGTAGGAACAGTGTGCTTCAAGTGTTTCACAGAAGCTGGGCATTTAGCTTGGTGCTTTCCCCAGGCATGTGTGGGACAAGGAAGCCAGAGCCCGGGCCACCAGTCACCTTCACCTTGCTGTCTTTCCCCACTAGGTGGCCATCCAGCTGAATGACACCCACCCTGCACTTGCCATCCCTGAGCTGATGAGGATTTTCGTGGATATTGAAAAATTGCCCTGGTCTAAGGTCTGGACAGTCTGGCTTCTTTTTACTTTAATAAACCAGGATATCGGTAGTTGAAAGACTTTGCCAAAAAGCTTCTTTTTCAGTTTTTCAAAATAAGTTACTGTTGCTAACTTCCAATAGTTAAAGGTATGTTTTGCTCTGATGCTGACATTTCTCCATCCTCAGGGATGTGCTTTACAGGGAGTAAAACTAAAACAAAATAAATACATTCCTAATGTGATGTAGACCAATAGCTGTATTAAGGCTTATATTATGTTTACCGTTTTTGTGTCTAAAAGGATTCTAAATTAAATTCTGTAACCTCAGAAGACAGCTAATTGAAAGTATACCCATAGCTTTGGAATTCAGCATTTTAAACATACCTGCTGAGAGCATTAATTTTTTATTCTACAACCTTTGTGTATTTAATAAATAAAAGACATGTCACAATAGTAGAGATTTATTAGAATGCTGTCTTAAGTTTTATCACACAGTTTCACAAATATCTTCTGCACCTCCTACCCCCAACCCTCCCTCCTCCGCCCCTGAAAAGAAAAGTTCCCATTATCTGGACCACTCAGGAACCTGTTAGAATCAGTGTGTATACACTTAGAATTGTCCTGTTGCAGACAGGCCGAGTTGAGGAAGTGTTTGGCCTGTGTGGTGGGTGTGCACTGCAGGGGAAAGCAGCTGACCCCTCTCTCTGTCAGGCATGGGAGATCACCCAGAAGACCTTCGCATACACTAACCACACAGTGCTGCCAGAAGCCCTGGAGCGCTGGCCAGTGCAGCTGGTGGAGAAGTTGCTTCCTCGACATTTGCAAATCATTTATGAGATAAATCAGAAGCATTTAGATGTAAGTCATTTGAGACATTCTTCCCTTTATGAGAATGAGCTCTTAAGACATTCAGGGTGGCTGCAGTGTTCCCCCTTTCCAAGCATGAGGCCCAAACGTCTTTCAATCATTGATATGACAAGCATACTCAAGTCTGAACAGGGCTCATTAAAAGTGCTAAAATGGAAAGATGGCATCTCCCTAGGGCTAACTCTGCCCCTCTCTGTGAGAGTGAAGTTCTATATTCACTCCATCAAAGATTTTGCTTGGGAAGTGAATACCGTTATTGCTTTAAACCTGAGTGGCCAGCAAGGTCTTTCTCTCCCTTTGGCTAGAGAATTGCAGCTTTGTTTCCTAAAGATGTCGACCGTCTGAGAAGAATGTCTCTGATAGAAGAGGATGGAGGCAAAAGGATCAACATGGCCCATCTCTGCATTGTGGGCTCCCACACTGTGAATGGCGTGGCTAAAATCCACTCAGACATCGTGAAGAAGGAAGTGTGAGCCTCCATTACCGTGGTTGTGGGTCTAACGCTGATCTGTTAATGGAACAATGCTAACAAATGCAGGGTTGCATTTAGCAATGAGGAAAGGCCTGTTACAATGTTTAAAAGTATTTTCTTTTATACAAAGAATGCTTCTCTTTAAAAAGAAAGAAAGAAAAGAAAATATGCCATCCTCTCTAAGCCATTCTAATTCTAGACTTAGGAGCCAAAAAAAAAAAAAAATATTCTGCTGAAAGTCTGGTATATATGTCAGTGCCAGGAAGTCAGATGGAGGTGATTAGATTTGGAATTTTTCTTGTAATTATTTTGAATTGCAAATGAATTTCTATTTGGAAAGACAGTCATAGCTGCTGTCAGCCCTTCCCTCCACTTTTATTTAATCTTTGTAAGCCTGCACTTGGCTTCTTTAATGTAACTCCGAACTTTATCTAGCATGCAGGACCCTGGCATTTCAGCCAAATTCAGTGATGTGTTTCTTCCATCTCCAGATTCAAGGACTTCAGTGAGCTAGAACCAGACAAGTTTCAGAATAAAACCAATGGGATCACTCCACGGCGCTGGCTCTTACTCTGCAACCCGGGGCTTGCAGAGCTGATAGCAGAGGTAACTGGGGAGTGCCGAGAGGCATGTGAGTGCCCTTATCCTTAGCAAATCCCATCTGCAGCAGGGCTGGGGCTGGCTTCATCATCGTGTAGCTTGTGCAGTCACACAGAGCTCCATGCCGGGTTTAATTCTCTGCTGTAGCCATCTTAAAATTCTTAAATTTTGAACAAGGGGTGCTGCAAATTATGTAGCTGGTCGTGGCTAACAGTATTCATATGACACATGGGTAGAAGATGGTATACCTATTTAGTAAATGAGGATAACAAAACTCATAAATAACTAATAGAATAACAGGGTTCTTGGTCACCCTTTGGAGTAGATTTCCTGTGTTTAACACTTTAATACCACTAAAACTACACTTAAGATTCTAGCAGCAGTGTTCCTCTCACAGAGAATTATTTCTAGGCTCTTCTGTGAGTGACACCGTTGTGTGTACCATGTATAACTATGCTGTTGTAACTGGGTGAGAGCCACTCACCCCGTCCTCACAGAAACTGCTCATTTGGGCTTGATTTCCACCCCTGAATTAAAGCCACCCCTTCTTTAAATTGAAAGAAAATCGGGGAAGACTACGTGAAAGACTTGAGCCAGCTGACGAAGCTCCACGGCTTCCTGGGTGACGATGTCTTCCTCCGGGAAATAGCCAACGTGAAGCAGGTGAGGCGTGGGGGGCCCTCCCGGCACGCGCTCGGGGGGCTCATACTCCACTCTGTAAAACCTGAGTCAGAAGGGCTGTGCACCGTGCCCTGTCTCAACAGGAGAATAAGCTGAAGTTCTCTCGGTTCCTGGAGAAGGAGTACAAAGTGAAGATTAACCCCTCGTCCATGTTCGACGTCCACGTGAAGAGGATCCACGAGTACAAGCGGCAGCTCCTGAACTGCCTGCACGTGGTCACCATGTACAACCGTGAGCTGGCCCTGCAGCCACCCACAGGCCCCACGGAGGTGGACAGTCTCGCCACCCTGGCCGTCAACTGACTTCTGTCCCATCCACTTCTTTTTCAGGCATTAAGAAAGACCCTAAGAAGTTATTCGTGCCAAGGACAGTTATCATCGGTGGCAAAGTAAGTTGACCCTACTCAGTGGGGACTTGAGGGCTCTAATCTCTTGCCATTTCTCCACTGGGTCACGGCCGCCTTCTGTCACTGTGTTTAACGTTCTTCCCCAAGGCTGCCCCGGGATATCACATGGCCAAAATGATCATAAAGTTGATCACCTCAGTGGCAGATGTGGTGAACAATGACCCCATGGTTGGAAACAAGTTGAAAGTCATCTTCTTGGAGAACTACAGGGTGTCTCTTGCTGAAAAAGGTATACTGTCGTCATTACAAAATGTGTGGGAGCCAGAGCAAATTATAGGGATTACTCAGTAAGGAAAACAGTGTGGCTAACCTCAGGGCACTAGATACTTAAGATAAAAGGTGCCGCTCTTGGGCAGAATGAGGGCCTGAGGCAAGAGCTTTTAAGGTGACCCATCTGACAATGACATTGATGTCCCCACAGTCAGTACCACAGAAGCACATTTCCAAGTGCATTTTCTTCCCAACCAGTGAGAGCTGGGTGCTGGAGGAGGTAGCCTGAGGTTTTGGCATGATGCAAACCTGCTCTACAAAAGAGAGGACAGGTCTTCAGTTCCTAGCCCCACTTCTGCAAGAGAACACAAACTCACCAGTCCCCAGATGTTCCTCTGGTCCCTGCAGGGAAGAAAGGGCTGTCATTTGTTCATGGAGCAATAGGAAATGAGGGCAGATGTCAGGCTGCCAAAGCACAAGTCCTAGATGTGCCTTGTATGGGCACTGGGGCATCTGGCATGGAGTTCCCAAGGGGGACAGCAAGGATGGCAAGAATGTCCCTTTCAATGTCCCTTTCTCTGCCACTGAGACCTTTGTCCATTTGCATCACATGCTTACAAAGCACCATCCACATGCAAATGCCAAATGTATGTTCACCCACTTCCCAAATTGGAAAGATAGAAGGAAGCTTTCTCTTTTCTGTGGTATTTTTGGGTCCCCTAGTGGTACTGTTTAAGAAATGTCTGCATAAAGAGAAAAGAGCTAAGTCCTTAGATCTAATCCATGAATAAGCTCTCCTAGTAAAGCAGAGAAGTGGCCCTGACCTTTGTGGTGACAAGAAGGGCTTCAGGCAGCTCTATCTGTGTGTAAATCAGCCTGAAAGGTTAAAGGCTTGATGTCCAGCCCCTGGCACACTTCAATTGCACATGGCTTAATTTCCTGCAGTGAGTGGAAGGAGGGAGGTGAGAAGAGGAAGGAATGCAGAAAATCCACTCCCCTCGTGTTGCAAAAGAGCAGAAAGGAGAGATGCTCTGAATTTTATGGATCTAGAAAGAGAAGTTTCAAAATATTTTATAAAGCAGAAGAAATAAAAATAAAGCCAAAACAAAAATTGGAAAGGAGAAAGGGACAACAGAAAAGTAGTATCAATGTTTATAGCACAAAGCCAGTAGATACTCCTTAAAGTTTACAGACCAAGAAAGAGTAGTATACGCATAAAGTTATGTAGCACATCAACAGTGCACCACAGTGGTTGGCCGAGTCAAGGGGAAAGAGTAAGATCTGCCTTCTATACCACTTAACGTTTGTCTTGATGTGCATGTATTACTTGCGTGATCAGAACAGGCCAGCTAGACAAACGCTCACATATAAGAAGATTTAGAGAGACAGTCACTCATTTTAACTTGGCTTTCTTGCAGTCATTCCAGCCACAGATCTGTCAGAGCAGATCTCCACTGCAGGCACTGAAGCCTCAGGGACAGGCAACATGAAGTTCATGCTGAATGGGGCCCTGACCATCGGGACCATGGATGGGGCCAATGTGGAAATGGCAGAGGAAGCTGGGGAAGAGAACCTGTTCATCTTTGGCATGAGGGTCGATGATGTGGCTGCTTTGGACAAGAAAGGGTGAGAGAGCAGCTCTTTATTGGTCGGGTCATCCCCAGGAGGGTCCATGATCTCAGAGGGCATCCTGCCCACACAGGTACCCATGGAGGCTGGGTCACATGAGATGTGGCAGCATAGCATCTGCCATGAGGAGTCAGGGCAGCCTCCTGGCCACAGATCAAGTCTTACTAAACCCAGCAAGTAAAAATAAAGGGAGCTCAGACACAGGTACATGGAGTAGTTGCTCTTTGTTATCAGCCATTGCAGAGCTGGCCTCAGTGAGCTACTCAGTTCTCTGCATCTGTGATTTTTACTTTGATCAAAAGATGAACCAGTTTCTAGTTGGAAGTTTTTGCCTATAATTTAAACCATTTTCTAGTGCTCCTCTAAGATCTCAAAGAGATGGACTAAAATTGGAAAAGAATAGCCATGGATGTACAGAAGCACTCGGGAACACTTGTTTTCACTTAATATCTAGATAGATTTGTTTGCCTGAGTTCAGGAATGAAAGAAAAAAAAAGTACTGTCCAAAGGACCTATGGGAATCACAAAATTTAGAGAGTGCTAAATATACTTCCTAACCCTGGGAAGTAATTTTCACTCAGTAGCAACAAATTTTGAGAACCTGTGGATCTCAAAAAGCAACTGGTCCACTTAATACAAAGCTTGTTTAGAGCCATAAAGTCTGCACTGAAACAGAGCTTCTGTGTTTCTACCAGATTAGACTATTGCTCTGTGACCATATTTTCATTATCTACTGTTATTAGAGTCTTTGGTTACTAGGAACAAATCAAATTTAGAATGGAAAATAAACTTGAGGAAAATTTATCTAGTAAAAATGTGTCTATACCCATGCTGAAATCTACAATGGCTTCTATAAATGCTAGTATTTCTGAATGCATTTTTCACAGCTAAATGCAGTGTCTCGTGTGCTGTTAAGGGCCTTTAACAAAACACTAAAGGCAGTGTCTAGTATGTTGTTACGGCCTTTTTCTTATCACCCACCCACCCCTACCCCACAGGTACAAGGCAAAAGAATATTACGAGGCAATTCCTGAGCTGAAGCTGGTCATTGATCAGATTGACAATGGCTTCTTTTCTCCCAAGCAGCCTGACCTCTTCAAAGACATCATCAACATGCTATTTTATCATGACAGGTGAGTTCCCACAAGGAGAGGGTGCTATTTGAGCTGTGAAAAGGGGACAAAAACATCTTAAACCAACTACAACCCACTCATGTAGATTAGCATAGATCTGGGATCTGATCAGATAACCCAGTCTTGGGGGAAAAAAGATATTCTCTGCCAATGATGCAGTAAGGTTTAAAAATAAGACCCACAAATCTGGTATTCTTTTTCTCCATCCACTGATATACCCAACTTTCAAATGCATCCATATGATGACATTCTTACATGTGGGAAGAACCATAAAAAGGTTGAGGGCTGATTAAAATTCTTGTGAACAGAAATATGAATTTGGTAAGCTAGCCATGCCTGACATTTAGCAAAAGAAAATTTCAAATGGAATTTTAGAATGCATCTGTTAATGAAGCTTTTTCTTGTTTTTTGTTTGTTTGTTTTTTCCTTCTAATTAACAAAAATAAACAGATTTAAGGTCTTTGCAGACTACGAAGCCTATGTCAAGTGTCAAGAAAAAGTCAGTCAGCTGTACATGGTAAGTTGCAGAGATTTATAAAAGAAACAAATTTACTATGATTAACTACAATTTTTGTTTCTTTTTATTAAATCTAAATAGCAGGGCCCTACTACCAATCAAAAAAAAAAAGAAAGTGAAGCAATTGTCCAGCTTATTCTGATCAAAACTTGACTTTTCCCATGTTTGGGCAAAGGTTGGGATTTGCCATTTCAGTAGCAGTTAAATGTTTAATTCACAAGTGAAAAATCAAGTATTAAATTTTGTAATATCCAAATAAAAAAATGACAAATAGTTCAATATTTATGGAGCACCCACCCTGTAGCAGGTATATGCTGGAAGCTAAGGATGGAAAGCCTCAGAGAGGCACTGGGACTCCTCCCCTGCCAGGCACTGTGCTGGGCTCTGAGAACACGGCGTGAACAAGGTCAGGTTCTTTCTTTTCTTCCTTCAAGGAGCCTGCTCAGTGCCGGGGTTCTTAACCTGAGGCACACATCAGAGTCACCAGCACAGCTCTTTCACAGTACAGAGGCCAGTCCCCTAACCACCCCACCCACCTCCTCTGAGAGATTCTGACCCAATAGTGGATGGGACCACCATCAGTATTTGCAAAACCTGCAAAGAGGATTCTAAGCTGAGCCTCAGTTTATTGGGATAAGACTGATCCCCTATTCTTTGAAAGTTGGAAAATAAGTACCTCTCCTGGACTACTCATAGAGTGGGGCTATATGAATAGAATATAAATGTATAGGGCCGGCCCGGTGGCGCACTGCTATAGTACGCCACTTGGGAGTGCGGCGGCGCTCCCGCCGAGGGTTCGGATCCCACATACAGACCGGTT